ATCATTGTTTCTCCTCGTATTTGAATTGCCTTACATATAAAAAAAACATAACTCAGAAAAAAATCGCACTTGCTCGAAATCGTCCCATGACATGTTGCCACTAACGAGAATCTCATTAATAATCAAATTTTGCAATTATGCGTTGAGGGTCCCAATAAATTCTATGATTGCAACGCTAAAAATAAATATTTTATAACATTAAAGACAAATTACACGGTGTTATTTTCAGAATCCTACACAATTCATCTTGTTTTGTTGCTCTTTGTCAGATTGTCTGAAAATAAAATGACAAAGCACGTCTAAGATGAGGCTATGTCTACTCTAAAAAAGAAAACGAAAATGACCAAAAACAAATACATTTATATTATCTTATCTTAATTTTACAAGCAATATCTTCTGTCTCGATTTGTGTAGACAAATATGGCCCATGTTTATGGAATTTTTCGTGTTGAATTGTTAATGATTAGAAAATAAATCACACTATTTCGTATAATGCACATTGCAGAGACTTTAAGTGTTCTTTTTTTAATATCCCACAAACCAAACTGCAAACTAACATAGAAACGATTGAAACTTTGAAAGTAACTATTAGTTAAGGCCTAGTAGTATAGACTAGGCCCATTATAGTCAAACAAGGATAAAATAGTAATTTACTAGTAACCAAACAGAGACAAACACACTATAGTTTTAGATCATTGAAGTAATGAGTTTTGTTTAAAGTAACCAAAAAAACAAGTCCAAAGAGCAGACACTATGTTCCAAAAGATATAATAAAGAAGACACTTGACTAAATTAAGATCACGAAATGGATAGATTTTGGTTTGGAAATATCAAATTTGTCTATGATAGTAATTTACTATTGAACCAAACTGAAAAAGAAACGGTGACCATTGATTATATACAAACACACTATTGATCAAATGAGTATTGTTTCAAGTAACCAAAATGAAGTCCAAGCAGACACTATTGATCTTTACTAATAAACACGCTTTGTTTGAAAGACATAATAAAGAAGCATTTTACTAATAATAAGATCACGAAATGGATAGACTTTGGTTTGTAATTGATCAGGTTTGTGTATGATGATTGTGAGTAGGGTTCATTCACACGCTTGTGGGATGCCACAATAGGCCTTGGTCATGGTACGGTGAGCCTTGAGATGAACCTCCAATGTTTCATAAAAATCAAGAAGTCCGTCATGGCGAAATGGTTTGTATGCCAAAGGATAGTCCTTGTCCACCATTTCCTCTGGTATCGATATCATCCCTTCTTGGAACGAGAAGAACCCTAATGAATACCTCTCTTCCACGCTTTCCATCTCCACCTTGTGATAACAAGATTTGATTCTGTCATTGCTCCACGCCTAATAATTTATTTTGCGCACATGATATGTCAGCATATAAACTCGAAGTGCATGGTTATAACATTAATTTGGCTAGCTTTTTTAACTTACCATGATGGCATCGCCTGCTATAACAGCAAACCGAGTTGGTGAAGGTGTAAAAGGATACCAAACATCGTCTTTTTCGGATTTCAACATGAGTCCATTGATGTGGTTTTGATGGAGAATGGAGATGAAGCTTTTGTCCGTATGAGAAATAAACTTCCTGTTGGGTTCTCCATTAGGTAATCTCCTGTATTTAAGCAATCGAAGAAGGTACCTTGTTTCTCCTATGTGTTTCTCTGCATACTTGTCCAAGTTATAGCTCTCAAAGAGCATCCTTATCACCAGTTGCTCAAGTTCCGCTTGCATTTTCGCATATGCGTAAACAGTTTCACTATAATATGGTTAACACATAATAGTACTTTTGATCGTGTCAAAAAAAAATATATATTTGATAAAATATATAATACCAGAAACGGTCATTGTCATGGTGATTAGGCCACATGAGACTAGAGAATCGGCGGCATTGTTGGATGTCGTTGACTTGGTCGATACCAAGACCTTCATGAACAGGCTGATCATCGGAGATCATGGTGATGTAACCATGTCCAGCCTTGTGGTTCTCGTTCTTTAGCTTGACTTCGAGAGGAAGATCGAGTAGTTCCTTAGCGACCTTCAAAATCGATTGGTGGAGTTCTGTTGGAAAGTTGTTGTACTCTGCCACAAACCATCCATGATGTTCCATGGCTTCACGGACGCTGACTCTCGTCGAGTTCCATAGCTGTGTGTCCGTTTTCAGGTTCTTGTCGGAGAGGTTAATGACCAAAAGCTCTCTAGTTTCATGCGTACCCATTTATCTATCCTAAGCATCATAGTTATTTAATCCGAACTAAATTAGAAAAATCATAAAACAAATCAATGGTGTATTATATTGTTCAGGAGATATGATCCAAACTTGATATAATCCAAGAAAATATAACTTAAAAGCATAGAGAATTACCTGTATACAACACACTCTTTTTTTATAAGTGGTATCTCTAATTTGAGAAATATTCTCTAGCTTATATTTTATATATGACGAATTAATGTAGAAATCGATTGTGTGTATAATATACTTGCATTGAAATATGCTTCACACGATTAACTTATGTAAATGGTCAGTTTGTAAAGATGCTTTCCTTGGCATTTTGTCTAAATCATTTTTTTTTTCTCTGTCAACGGTTTAAATTTAATATCAAAATCCTTAAAAAAAAAAAAGATAAGGCCGTAACTGTAAGTTCGTTGCTGGGATTTTCTGGGCCTAAAGGCCTACTCAAATTAATACAATCAAAGCCCAAAGATCCTATCCTCGTGGGGTCTAATTATTCGAGATTGGGTTTGACATTTCCCGATTGCCCCAACTGTAATATACCTTTGACTTTCTTAAGCCGTCGACGTTGACCACCTTCTCTCTCTCTCTTTTATTGCTTGTGTTGAATTTTGGTTACGGGTAAACAAAAATGTTCACATTTCTTCTCTCACCGGAAAAAATGTGGTGGCGATTGCGGCGGTGGCGACAATGTTCAATAGGATCA